TGCTGTGCTCTTCAAATGTGGGTGTTATCAAAGAAATTCGTCCAACTAAGGTTACAGTTAAAACTAGCTTTTGTTTTCTTTTTTCTTTATTATACACACGCCATGCACTAATAAACACACATTTATATTTTCATCGGGAAATATCCCCACTACGTAGCAGATCAAAGAAGAAAAGAAAAAAGAATTTAGCTGATAAATTTATTGAACAATCAATAGATGATTATTTTATAAACAAAAAGGACAAAACTTGGTTATTTTACACGAAAAGTGAACAATATCAACCATGGAGATTATTATCTCATGGTTCACTCGTGTTGAATCGTTTCCGAAACGAACAAGTACCAAGATTACCAGAATTAATTGACGATTGATAAAAATCATTTTTTTTAAATAACCTTCTTTCTAGTTGGTGCTAGCACTATTTCTGTTTTATTGTTTTTTTACATATTTAGTTAAAGATTTGGTTGGGAAAAGATAATTCCTTCTATTTTCATAGTGGGGAAATTGGCATTTTGACGTTTCGTCGCTACTTTTCATTCCGGACATCCGATGACGTAGTCCGTTCCGAACATCCGTTTTCTTCAAAAAATCATCATTTTTATGATAAAAACATCGGATGTTCGGAACTAGAAAAATACGGATATTCGGAACGATCATCGAAAAATAAACGGATACTCGTAAAAAAAACTACTGGATGTTCGTAATGAAAATATAGGGATGTTCGGAACAACAATAAAACGGATGTTCGTAAAAATTTACAACGGGAGTTCGGAATAGAAAAAGAAGGGATGTTCGGAACAGATATATGCTACTTGTATTAGTGCAACACTTTAGCTCCAGTTAATCTATGTTTGGAACTGTCTTCCTGTCACAGCACAGTACACGATATGTTAGACATAGTCACAGATGTAGAGTGTGTACTGAAATACAAACTTCTATTCACTCTTATTCGAGGGTGGTTCAGCAGGAATATTTCGCTATCAAAACTCCGTGACCTGTCAACTTGCTTCATCTTTTCATTATGAGAAATAAATGAGGTTTATTGAACAAAGAACAATACTCACAGATAGAAAGTCGAACTATTAAGAAGTACGATGGCACAAAAATAGAGAGACATTTCAATAATAAACAAAATAACAAAAACCAGTGAATCTCTATTACTTCTTGACTGATATTATTGTTTTTTTACGAGCTTTTGCTCTCGAGACTATAAGACCTCTTCTCCTTCGTCTACCACTCTGTATCGAAGTCCGTTTTGTACACTATTTATTTTGTCTCGAATATCCTTATGTTTGCGTTCCAAACACCCGGTAGTTTCTGTTTCGAACATCCATCTTTCGTAACTCTGTCATATGATATAATTCATTCCGAACATCGGTTCTCTATCGTACGAACATCCATTTCATTAATTACGGACATCCGTTAGATTTTTTTCCGAACATCCGTTGGAGGACTAAAATGTCAATTCCGAACATCCGTTAAGTTTTTTTCCGAACATCTGTCGACAGACTTAATGTCAATTCCGAACATCCGATGTCAAATACGGATGTTCGGAATGACAGCGACGAAACGTCCGGAGGTCGGGAAATTTTTGGAGAGTTATTTTGCGTGCGGGGAAATTTTTTAATTTTACGGCAGATTCTGCACCTCTGTAAATAATAATAAAAAAAAACGAATAATCATATAAATACTGTTAACGATCAATCTAAACAATATTAGAAAACGAACAAAAACTTGCATTTTAACTCATTTATGGGTATAAATGTGGATGTATAATGCAATCATGATGTTATAACCATTCATCTTAATAACGAGGATTTTTAGATGATACTCGTTACAATTTACTATCCATTTGAATCAGAAACAATCTTGAATATAGAGTATGGGTTGTGTGTGGGTGCATAGATATTTGACAGAAGAATATGTTTACTTATTTATGATTTTAAATTAGAGATGATCAATTTACACATACAAAAATTTAATAAATCCAAAGATAAATTCTTAGAAATTTAAATTTAAGCTTTGTAGATTGAAACTTATTTTAGATTGAAATACGATTTCTATAAATTTGCGTCTTTTAATTTTCTTTAAATCTAGTTTGAGTTAGCATAAATTCAATTTTAACTGAGTAAAATTCAATATGAGAAGAGTTATTTATGATTGAATAGAATGTATATTATTAAATATTATTTTATTTAGAGACGATTGATTACTGAAAACTTACCTGATGTATATTTTTTTTTGCTAATGGGAAAATAAGAGGCGAAATTCTCTATCTGTTCGGTTCTAACCCACAATATGCACTGGAAATATGAAATTTATATGCAGATACTCTAAGGATATATTAAGACAGTGGCATCACTCCATTTCGATTGTTTAACTCTTCCGTGTGCTTTCTTCTTCCTGTTCGTGTTCACAAATATTAAATAGATAATTTCTAAAGGAATACAAAAATAAAGAATTATTTATTAGTGTAGGTTTTTCAGCGAATTCTATATTTTCAGTACTGACTATGCGTGCGCCCATTGCAGGATAAAATGTTAAGCAAAAAGAAAATTATGATGGATTGTACCTATTTTTGTTTTAATCTTCATAATCTGAAAGACTACCCATTGAAATTTTGCTATTTCTTATCAAATACATGATTAATTCTTGATATTTTTACATAGAAGTAAAATCTAGCCTAGAAGACGTGTTCATTTAGTAAGTAGTGAAGTCTTCAATCTCGTCACTAACACTAGGATTATCTACCTGCTATTTCTCTTTATATATATTGAATATATTATGCGTCTCCAAAAAGCAACAAAACCAGAACAGTAGAGAGTTTGGATGGTTCTGCAAGCGATCATCCCTCTTCCAGAAGAATTTTTATCACTTTTTCGTAGCAGAAAAGGGTTTAAAATGAGCTGATACTATCTTCAATGGACTACAAATGACACGTTTTTTGAACATAATCATCTACTAAATCCGTCGTTTTTTGAGTAAATGCTTTCTAATAACATTTGAACATGCGTTTGTTAGCGCGCTTCATACATTTTCATATGAGGTACTATTCAACTTTTTTTGCGTATAATGCTACTGAGAAAACTACAACTCCAGCAAAAAAAATTTGTTCTCTAGTTGTACTCCTCTATTGTAAAAATCTCAGATTCATCACTGAACTAGAACAGCACGATGACACATATACATGAGTATGTGTCATGACAAAAACGAATATACAATAGCAAGAAAGAACTACTCAAAGAATGAAAGTGTAGTCCATAACATTCGAAAACATACAAGAAAAATCCAACAATTGATGTATTTAAGTTCAAGGGTAAAAAAACGACATGCGATGTATTCACGTATTTGGACGTATCCTTAATACACATAACAGAAAGTCATGATGTTATATCAACGATAAAAACTTATATGTAAACACTATTGTTATGGCAGTTAGCTTCAACTGCTTCAAACCGTCATGTGCTGCTAAAGACGTTAAAATTGTTGATAAAAGACTCCATGGTAAACTATCAAGTTAAAACAGTATTACTGATCCGAAAAACCTCTGTTAATTGTAATTATACTATTTTCATTGATATAAAATAATAAAAAATTGTACCAAAATAAATTAGATACTGAATCTTTTAAAATTAGTTACTGAGCTTTTCAAATTATTTAAATATAGTGGAAAAGTGATAGGAACTAATGTCATTTGAAAAAAAAGGCAAATGGGTATTTTTGAATAAATTTTGATAAAAATCAAGATAGAGTGTTGTATTATTCACTGATGAAAAAAGGAGATGGAGTCACATCGAATCATGTACTAATAGTTTCGGCAACATATTTTTCGAATTTTTTTAAATTCATTTCTAAAGTAGGTACCAGAAAAATGGTTATTTATCAATTAAATAAAAAGAAAAAAGTGTTTTCTTTTCGCTGCAATCGCTTAGAAAATCGGCTGAAAGTTCTGTGGTAGGGTATCTAGAACTCCTAAACGTTCAGTATAGAAATCGAAGGCTTACGTAGTGTCGTAGATCTTCGATTGGCGATTCGAATGCACATCGGATAATTGAAAACTCACTGTAATTACTCAATAGTGTGGCCTAGTTTTCAAAAAGATCGATTGAAAACTTAACAAAAAGACAGATCAAAAAAAGATATAATATATAATTCAATTCATCTCCCGCTTCTCTTCATTTTGTTTCTACAAAAAGTTACTCAAAAAATACTCATGCCCTTTTTTTTGAAGTGGACATTAGTTTCAATCTTATTAGCATGTATGCTTCTGTCCACTGTAGTATATTCCAAAAACTAAATGTTCATTTTCTACAGTATTTCATTAATTTATTGGAATGAATAATAAATTTAGTTCTTTTATAACTTTATTATTATCATATCCGTGATGATATCCAGATCAGCGGTTGTTATCGTTTGACAAGAACAGATGCATTGAAAATTGTGCGTATTTTGAAAAAAAAAATTTTTTTTTTGTTGAAAACAAACCACCTGTTTCAAGCTTGTGAAGACCGACCAATCATTATTAGTAGTTCACGCTTCATCAAACCATCTATCAAAAGGACAAAAACAAAATTGCCTTAAAATTAGAATTGCCAATATTTGACTCGAATTATTCATATTGAGTATGTTGTTTTGACTCATAATATTTTCTACATCGTTTTTCATGAATAAAATAGGTAAAGGAAAGAACCTAATGTTGCATTCATCGATAGAAAAAAAGTGAATCGATTTGTGCTGTTAAAATAATCATATGTTTCTTCACATGTTTAACTAATCATACTCATTAGAAATAAAAAACACCAAGGATATGTCGCTGTGGGGTACTTTATGAATATTATATTTTTATTATTATAGCACGAAAAAAAAATAAACCAGCATAAGTGCCTACCTAGTGGAGACCAATGTATATATAAATCGGTAATTTTGTTTGTTTTTCGTGCATATAGATAGTTACCATCGATTTTATTAATATTCAACGGTTGTGACAAATTCGTACAAAGATGGATTTTCAATTTCATCCTGTAACTAATGAAGATGAAGAACTTTATAAACAAGTAAGTCATATTTAGTTGATTCTATTTTTTCCTAGGGCTATTACTTTTCTTTCTTGGTTAACAGCATTCGCAAGGTATTGAGCAAAAAGTACGTGAAGTATTTCCGTCAATTCCATCTAGTTTCGTATTGAAACCAGTAACACTTCGTAAAATGAATGCATGTGCTATGATATACGATTTTATGGTAAATAAAACATATATTCCAAATAGATAGAACAATATTTTATTTTTCATTTTTAATTATTTAGATTGGCTTACCTGATGGTACATTTGCGAAGGTTACATTTAGTGTCGGTGGTTTTCCATCAGGACCATCTGCTGTTGAAGAAGAACAAATTTATCGTGTTGATGAAACGTCATATCCATCTAGCTACCCGACCCGTTAGCATGATATGTTCAAGAACTTGTTTTCTGAATGTTTCTTGACTATAAAATATCGTACTTTTATTATTAATTATATTTAATCACCCTTCAAAAAAGTCTCACCTTATTATTAAGATTATCTATCAAATAAAACAATATAGATATAGGAACTTTGTGTTCAACAGTCAATAAAACTTGATTCTGATCAATCAACCTTCGTATTGAAACTAATACAAAGAACGAGAAAAATGCCGTAAATTTAGGATGTTTAGAAATAATCTAAGCAATAACAAAGTCATTGGTCGATTTAATTTTGATTGTCTTATTGATAAATGAAACAAAATTTTTCGATTGCTTTGAAGAGTTTTTAAACAAATATGCAATGTCATGTAACAATATGATCGAATCATGAACAGTGACTATGCTCATTATATACACGGCTTTAAAAGTTACTTATTTTATAACCTTTAGAATTTGTTGAATTGGCTTTGCATGCACAGTCATTTAACAGAGCAACAAAAGATTTATTCATAAATGATCATTAATAAACACAAAGAGCCAATACAAATCTGTTTCACTAACCGTTTTCACATTTATCTTTGCATTATGCTACTACATTTTGCGAATCATAAATGGTATAGTTCGTAACAAGTAACGTCATAAGGTGGTTTGTTTCATTCTGCATTATGTTCTGTAGCCAAGGGGGAAACGGCGGACTTGAAGTAGAAAAGTACGCCAAAGTACGTCAAAGTAGACTACTTGAAGTAGCTCAAAGTACCACCCAAGTAGTCCAAAGTAGGAACAAGTAGCTTAAAGTAACTTCAAGTAACTTCAGGTAAATTTGAAGTTGAAAAATACTTCAAAGTAAGCTACTTGAAGTAGCTGAAAGTAACTTGAAGTAGCTTAAAGTAACTTCAAGTCCAAAAGTCCGCCGTTTCCCCCTTGCCTGTAGCACATTGTCACATAGTGATTCTATTTTGCGGCATAAACAGCAGAGTGTAAAAAAAACTTGTCCTCGAAGGATAAAGAACCCGCCTGGGCTTGTTCTACAGAATTATCTTTCTATTACATATATGATAAGAATAAATCTTATCTATATATGAAGTACAATGTTGAATATCATAGACTTACTTTCTATATAAGACTCATTGACAATATAATACTATTAATAAACCTTATCACATGTTTTCCAGCAGAGATCACATTATTAATAAACAGCAATACATATCAGATATAAACAGAAGAAAACAATAGTAAAGCAAACTTAAAAATTCAACACTCAAATTTTAATCAATATAAATGGATGGAGAACGAGAAAGGATAAGTTCCTTTTTATTGTTTTCTTGTTGAGTTTGTCATATGCACCAATCAATAATATGCTATTAGTGTGGCTTCGTAATAAACGTGTTCGTCTTTTAGTAAATAACAATCCAGCTGAGTTAAATAATCTTTCCACTGAAGTACTTGTCACTCACTTAGTATATGATATTCTGACTAGTACTAATAATATTGGAAACTCACGGCAAGCTTCACTTTGAGAACCAGAACTTCATTGGATCACGATCAATCTGGTGACTACGAATGAGTGTCACTTTTCTGAAGGAAGTAGGTATTTATGCTATCCACTGATTTCACACTGTTCTTCGATACTTGTCATTTAGTTGTTACACATTGCATGTCTGCATAAATAGGATACGATGGGCAAACTCTAAAAGGTTCTGTTTGACTGAATAGAGTATCATACATGTCAAATTTGAATTTAACTCAAGTTTCAGTCGCATCGAAAGAGATGAGTGTGTTTGAAATTTTGAAAGTTAAATGCTGAAACTATAGTTGAATTGAACTTTTGATTTCTACACTTATGACACCCGATACACTCTCACCAATATTTCCGATATGTGGTTTCCGCTTTTTACACATTCGAATATTGCTTTCTTTTGTAGAAAACTTTTTTCTGAAACACAAACTCTGTTCGAGTTCTATAGTAGCATCAATTGGTATATTGATTAAACCGCTACTGATATGATCTAAAATTCTCATTTATTAGTTATAAATAGTTATACAAGCTAAGAAGTTGATATTTACATTATTGTCTAAAATGACTTTTTTGTGGAGGGTGTGGATGTGAGTGTTGGTGTGAGCAATTGAAGGACTCGCAGTCCACATCGACACCACCCCAACTACACTCACATCCTTAGTAATGTTGATCTTCAGATCATAATTTCCCCTAAATTTTCTCAAAAGCCTAAATAAACGTTGAATTATTTTCATATTGAAGTATACGCTTATTGTTGAAAGAAAATCTTTTTCTTTAAATACAAATCGAACAAATAATATCATTTTATTTATGGTTTAACAATTTTCGAAAAAACAACGGAAAAATGCTTTACAACACAAAAAGAAATGTTACAAAAAAATTCGTAAATACAATTTTTCTCTCATCTGACAATGCTGTGACTGTACTATGTACACAAATTTACAAAATTTGCATGATTAATAATAACAATAGAAAAAGTGAAGAAATAGCTGGAATATAATCATCATTATAAACTTAGAACATATTGTTTACAATTACTCCATTGCTTGGATAATAAATTAAACAGTGGGGTATAATAGCTCGGTAAAGGTTTCCATCTGAAGGACTATGCAAAACATTCCCTAATAGAAACTGATCGACCCGAGATTAATAAGCTTTCTATACTTTTCAAGAATTATCTGGGCCAATTATTCATTTCAAAAAAATAGAGCGTTCCACTGTTTATTGAATAACTCAAGAATGCAAACAGCTAGGCGTCTGCAGTTTTCACCAATCGAAAGAAGAGACAGGCAAACGTCTTTCTCTTTCATAGTGTATAAGACGAAATCATATTAAAATCAGTAATTTATGCAAAATATTACAAAAAAAAAATGCATGAAAACGATCTGTGATTCCAATGAAATTTAACAAATAACATCGTCTACTTACTCGCACGAAAACTATAGATTTGATTTTAGTATGATCTCATCTTATACAATATTGGAGATAAAAAAACCTTCCACTGTCTGCTCTTTCGATTGAAGAAAACCGCAGGTCTCTAGTTGTTTGCGTTCTTCAGTTATTCAACAAATGGTGGAGCGTACTACTTTTTGAAATGGACATTAGACATTATAACTTTTCAAGAGCTACCCTTCAACATCCCTTGAGAAGTTATAAGGACCATCTCCAAAACAATCCTTGAAAAGTTACAGGAACTACTTCCTAGATTCTAGGAAGTGGTCTCTATATCTTTTCAAGAGCTATCTAGGGATGGTCCTTATAACTTTTCGAGGGCTATAAAGGATATTTCCCATAACTTTTCAAGGGCGACCAGGGCCGGTTCGTATTACGTTTCAAGAGCTATCAAAGGTTGATCATTATAACTCTTCAAGAACTATCTAGAGATATTCCTTATAACTTTTCAAGGGCTATCTAGACCTGGTCCCTATTACTTTTCAAAGGTTATTTATTAGAAGTTCCTATAATATTTCAAATGCTATGTTTTGTCGTGTCTGTGATTGTATGGGCTTAGAAATAAGGATTTCGATACATGTTCGTATCCTCGGTCTATAAGATTACAATTTAGCACTCTTGCCTTTCATAACGTTGCAATTTTGAGGACTTTTTGAAGTCCTTTATAGTCTATTAGAAAGAAATTTATGCTGAACGAGAATAAGCTGTACATTTCATTCAATAAGAAACCTATTGAATATTCTGAAACAATACGATAACTCGTTTTTACAAAGGCTACTGCATAATCATGCGTTTAGTAAAAGATCACTAGTTTTACAATTCTGAAAATCGTGTGATGAATGTTGTTGATAGTGGTATGTGATATAGTTAGATTAGTCTTCAAAAATGGTAAACTGCATATATTGACAGAACTGCTCAAGTCTTTGATTACATGTCTAAAAAACTGCTATAAGATTTGAATATTCTTCCAACGTAAGATGAAATGTAAAACTTCAGAAACATCTTGCAAGGAAAGCGTCATAACATATCTTGTTGATTGAATTTGAATAATAGGAAGTATCCGCCAGTCGTCCTTGAAAACCAATAGGAAACATCCTCAAAGAGTTCTTGGAAAGTGATAGACAGCTTATTAACCATGGTTCAATCGGTTTCTAGAACTAAACTGATCTTTTTCCATAGCTCAGCCCATTAGCTCATTTGATCTGAGCTTATGAGCTGGAGCTGATGGACCCTTATAGAATACTTATTATGTAGTGGATGTATGCTGTTGCTGCTGGGATTGTTGTTGAGCTCTACGCTCCACTTCTTGTTGGATCATCGTCTGTTGAACATGTGTTGGTAAGCCTGGATTAAGACTCAGAGCGTAAGGCAAAAGCGTTTTAGGCATGTCACCAAAATCAACCATCACTTTGATGAACATTGTATCATCTCGAACATATGGATTTCCTTCTTGTTGAATCATTGCCAATGGAAAAAATTTTGGTATGCCACTTGCAATATTCATATCCGACTGTGGTCGTTTAAAACTATTCGATCTAATATCTGGTCGAAATGAATCAATGATATGTTGTTGTGCTGGAGTTTGATCGTACATACAAAATGTGACCTTATACGTAAATGGAAATTTGAGAATGGGGTCGTTCGAACCGCGCATAAGTACAAAAAACAGTGACATGTGTGTACGACGAGCATTGCCATCTCCATTGAGATATAAACGCGCTCGCATTTTATAGCCCGTAGGTGACGAATAAAATGGTGGAGAATAAATTGAAGTTTGTCGTTCAGATTGTGCATCAGCTAGAAATTACGTAAAACAAATAAGTATAGAAGAGTAGAAGCAAGTAATAAAGAAATTCGACGAATCGATAAGATTAATGATTCATCTCATCGACACATTGATATATTTCCTATACACTGCGTCTTTCGATAATTATATATTATGCAAATCATACTATTCAACCGTGTATTTATTATTTGTTAATGTTATTTAAATCGAGTTCCGTCTTATTTTCTAATTATTCTTTTGAAAAAGTA